GCTGCAATACCAAGGAAAGTACAGTGAATCAGAGAAGATGAAGCGGCGTGCACTAGAGGGACACGAGAAGGTTCTCGGACCAGACCACCCCAAGACCATAGCAAGCCTCCACAACCTGGCTAATGTGCTACAATTCCAAGGAAAGTACATTGAATCAGAGACCATGCATCGGCGTGCACTGGAGGGACGCAAGAAGGTTCTCGGACCAGACCACCCCAACACCTTAAAAAGCCTCAACAACCTGGCTATTGTGCTGGAATCCCAAGGAAAGTCTGGCGAATCAGAGGCGTTGAGGCGGCATACTCGAGCACAGGGTTGAGGCAGCCAAAAAAACCCGGAAAATGTATAGTTGCAACCTGCAGACCCGATTGACCTTACTTTCCCACGACTCACTTCCGGAAGCGCGATGCCCAGTAATGCCATTCACCATGTCACATGTTGTTCGCCTGGACCAGGGGTGACCTAATTGGGCTACCGATTTCTACGAATGTGGGAGGCTGTTGTAATCTACCGCGGGTAATGGGACGATGGGCGGAACTAACCAAAATTAAGAGTGAGAGGTAGTGGCGGATAATAAAACAATTGTCTATGATCGTGAGAGAGTGTCTCGTGGTTCCTGTCATTTCTGTACTCATCCCCGGAGTCCTATGTGTACACATTTCATCCTCCTAATACCAGGTCTGAATCCTTTCTCTCACCGACTAGAAACTTCCTTCACACATACCTAGCATCGCTTGACCTTCATCGTGCGACATACCATTGTCCGAACTCTGCACTTGTCCCTTAATCTCTAACTCAACAACCATCACCATCGTTTCCGAACCCTCCAAAACCTCTTCCAGACAAACTGTGCCTCACCACCCGACCTGTCTCAGGCTCATAATGTGTTCCATCTCTTGGCCTTTGATATGCACGCCTAACAACCTTAGAGCCCTAAGACTCCTTGACCACATCCTCTCTACCATATGTAAGACCTTTCGTGCCACACTAGGGAGATGGAAGCTTCACGAATTTCAACAGCGGACTATTCAATTATTTGTTACAAGAGATATTCGTCTATCGGTGAAGGATTGAACGTTCCACCATTTTGTTTTCGGTGGGTTCCGGTCTCGTTTATCAGTGTATTTGTTCATTTTCATAGCGAATTATCTTTTCTCCCCTATCACCCCATAAGATCCTGGCAGCCACCTTGTTACCCTACAGAATCATAAGAGGTCAGTCATTGTGAATGGCGTTATCTGTCAAATTTATAAGTGTGAAGGCACCAATAGAATTACCCCCGGAACCCCACGCCCTACCGCCTGCGTCTTTCCCAATAAGAATTTTGCAACCTCATGTTCCAAGTCACTAGGACAGTCAGAGCAAGGCTGTCGTCTCCTCCGTGCTTCTGCCAGCGGCCCGGGGCCAAATCCCCACTTCGACTGATCAGACTACCAATCGCAATCTACCAACCTCCTACTCTCACGACCCACGGAGCGCCTTGCCGTGAACGCTGCAGACCAGACAAGATCCTAAGAACTGTCTACTTGTACAACCCGGCCATGCCGTCGCGATCCCAGGTAAAGTGAGACCGCTTAGAGCCGATATGTTTCCCCGCATCGCATGAGACCGGAATAGTTCCCGAACCATATTGTGACGGGATTCTGCTAACTACTGCCAACCCAACCAAGCCTGCCTCCAAAGAAAGTCAACCATGACGAGCAAGAATCCACCCCCCCGGGTGGTCTAGAGGTCAAGGAGCAAACAGCAGACCACAACCATCCTACCACACCCGGCACCCGTAACTGGCCGTCCCTTTGGGCAACACCTGGATGACCCTGGAATTTCCGGCAGTTGGCCTGGCCGGCACGGCCGATCCCAGCAGGTTTCCGAGTGACAGTACATGATTGCCACACTTGATGATCCCCGGACATATATACATCGACATAGATTGAACGGGTCACTGCTATATGTGCCAATGGCCTCCGCACGTAAGTTCCTACAATGCGTGATATGTTATCTTCGCCATGATTTCTTAGGTGGGTTAGGGTTGCAAGACCCCCGGGTGCCGATCTTGGTGTAAATCTGGAGCGTGGGCTCAAATGCTCGCCTAAACAATTGTGCCCTCAATAGGACCATCGGGGTAATAAAAATAGAAATAGTTTGATGCGGGACTGCTATGAAGGGCGCTTGTTGAGACACGCGGCTGGGTATATGCGAGGAGGAAAATGGATTCGGGGTTCGGGATAATACCGAAGTGGTCGGGGAAAACAGCCTTGTGATCATGGAATAATTGTTGACGTAGGGGTAATTTTTTTTGCTCTTCCCGGTTATATGAGCTGATGCAGCATGTCACTAGTCTCAGCTTTTTGAACTTCCCTCAACCCTTTTTTATTATATTCTCTTCGTGTGTACGAAGCTAGCTTCGGATACTTCATTGCTTTGGCGGGTCTTCGGAAATATCAGTAGAGCGCGGCTAGTGTTTAACGGTATCTACTGGCTATCTGATAACTGCTACCACAATACATACTGTACTACCTACTCTGGATAACTCAAGGTCTACCGCCAACGGCAGACTCTTATAAAACTTGGCTTATGGAGCCAAGGTGAGTCTCACTTTGACCTTTCCTGGCCGTGCGATATAGCTACCGTATGGGTATCAGCTGGTAGGCTTAGCGGCTTGCGTCGCCTCGAGAACACAGACCATACAAATTACATTATGATCGAATACCTCACCCCCGCATTCAACGGCTGGGGAAATCATGCAGAGGTATGAAAGCTACGGCGGTCGATGCCGCAAGGCAGAAAGAAGGCACTTTTTGCGCGGGAACTGCTTTCTGGCTGTGAACCCCATACTGGATCATCCACCCTACAATTCCTCTCTGACAAAGAAAAAAGGCGTCGTGATCCCCCATGGTTTGTTTAGTCAGCATCCACGTTCTTATCGGTCTGCTAGCCTCACTGTAAGTTACCCATATGCCACGCTAAGTTACCTGGCGATAGCATCGCACCCTTTTTCCCGCGACTAGCGGACATCACTAGCCTCTGACTTTCACTACCCCATTATCTGGGGAGAACCGGCAGACGCCTTTATGTGGAAATGAGAAGTGGCTCTAGTGAAACCTACAACCGCAGCGAAACTAGAGGCCCGAAAGGTTTGGTTCTGGCTATAATGAGTTAGGATGTGGCGTTTTATCGTGTTTTCAAGGCAAAGCAAGGATAAAAACCTTATTTGAATATACTTAGCCCCCTAACGGTTCTCACTTAGATAATGCGGCATATCACGTTGTTCAATTTTCCCTCTAAGTCACTTGTACTGTGATAAGTATAGTAGACTTGATAAGATAAATATCCTTAAGACTAGTAAGATAAATCCAAGCTTGCGTGCTCTATTAACAGGAAGGAAAAATATATACCCCTATATATACCCTTCTATCGTTACATGAGCACTGCCCCATACCAAGGAAATAACTAGAACCTGCTAGAATCTACTAGTAACATTCATCGGTCATATGGCTGTGTCACATGACCAACACAGCCACATCACCGGTTAGGAATAGGATACCGTATATTTCAACACACGTACCGGGGCGTCTACCCATTTCCTATGGTTCAACTTTCGTGAAACCTGGTCCAACCAACTACATACAAACCGGCAATGAAATAACTCCTCCAAAACAACAAATATTAGAGTAAAAAAAGCGTGAGAGTATCTGAAATGAGGATGCTAGTTCTCTCACGCTTTTTTTTTTGAAATAAAAGATATAAAAAAAGAGAAATTGAAGAAAGAGTTTGTATGAGATGAAACATGTACTGAAAAGTTCAGTGGAGCAGACTGAGATAAATGCTAAGAAGGTGGGGCTCCTCAGACAGGCTGCCCAGCAATGATTGTCCTCAGGAATAACATGACATTTTCCTAACAGGAAATGGGCTAAACAAGGGTCTACTATACTACAGGATTGAACTGGTATACCACAATGGCTGATAATACTCACTCTGGTGGTTCGGTCTCAGCATCGGCAACTCCGGTCACTTCGGCATGTGTTTCATCACTGGTCCACATTTTAGATCGGTTGCACTATACATCCCGCACTGGCACCCGAAATCGGCTCCTGGTAGTAATGTACCTCGCGGACTCGTCTCGGCTACGCTCCCCACCTCAGCCAGGAAATTTTTAACCGGCGCTACGGCGGTCTTATCCCGTATTGCTACCAACACCCCGGGGATTTGGCTGCGCTCTTTACTTCGACTACGGTATACCCTTATAATATCCTAGGCCTAAGTCCTTCTATCCGGAATTTTTTAACTGGAACGAAGGCAGCCTCCCCGCCCGAATCACTACCAACACACTCCCCTTTGGATTGATCCTCCACGTCCCCAGCAGTACCCCGGGCGAACCGCTAACCCTGCGGTAATGGGGGTGTTTCGTGGTGAGGTGGGGAAAACGGAGCTGAAGCGCTCTGGAAGTGCGGCCGCTATGCTTGGTGAAGGACAAAAAGGAGCCATTCTCGTTACTTACTTCTTAATTTAAATCACTTCGCTTATTTTTATGGACTCTGTGAATAAATCTTGGGTCCATTCTCGGGCAAGGTCTCTCGGCGACTGATCTCCCTCCATCCCAACCTGCGTACAGCAGCGAAATACCCTGACGTCCTGTTGCACTCGGATATGGACGTGGGTGACTGGACAGTCGGGGATTAGATTAGAGGTATTAAAGCTCCTTGCTCGTCCCAAAATCTTCCATGCCGAGTAGGCCCCCTGATTTCCGATGATGGCAGCAAGCTTTAGCCTTCCGTTCTCCCAGCTGTCCGGTCTCCCGCACCGGTACCCCAATAACAGAATTAGCATAGATCGCTTTGGCCAGATCTCGCAATCGACTTTTAAGATGCTCGCAATGTTGGTAAAACCTAAAGGAAGACACGAAAGAGCGAAGCAGTAAACCAGCGGATATATATCTCCAAACGGCTAACAAGTTCAGAAACCAAAACAAACTCCACAAATTCTGTACTCTCCTTCCAAATCATGATCCACCGCTATTCTCCCGCAATCTAGAATCCTCCGGATATCCCCTTATCCTCTGTGACACCTCAAGTCTGACTACCAGGAGCTTAATTCTATATGGATGTGAGAGAAACAAAGCAAATCTCCATACCCGATGGCTGGGAATTATTGTTAAAGACAAGATTCAGACCTCGCACGCATGGTAATTTCTTGTAC